AACTGGTGGCAAGATGATCGCGGTCGTGGCAGTGACTGGCGAGGACATGACTGGTGGAGTCAGCGCAGGTGGTGAACACGACGCGCAGCGGGAGCTGTTGCCTGTGGAGAAGAGAATGAAATCTACGGGTGACTCGGCTGTCATTGTGCACTGTGTTTTTTCCCTCAACGCACCGCGGGAGCGGTTGCCTGGATGACCGTTTCTGTGATGCACCGGGGGACCGGATGCCTGAAACCAGCAGCTAATTCGTTTGAGTTCAGGTCGATGAACTTGGCTCTCAATCCTTGCAATGAAGAGCGCACATCTTTTGTTGTGCTTTGTCGCCACGCGGGAGCGTGTGCCTTGATGGCTTTGTTCCTGCTTTCTAAAAGGTTGGCATTGCACTCCCAGTTCCGCTGCGCAAAAGAGATTATCTTTGTGAGCTTGCTTTGAAGTTTCATGCATGAATCAGTTGAGACATGTTCAACCCTAGCATCAAAGCATGACAGTGCATTATGTGATCCGTCCTTGAGGTCAACCATCCTCTCCATCTCAAGGCACGTTCCGGTTCGATGCTTCGCACGTACCGGGGGACCGGATACCTTCGTAGGTCCTTAATTAGTGCACTGTACATAACTTCACTCCTCCCATTTTCGTTCAGCGGGGGGTGTTGTTTCACGCTAGGATGTCGTATACATGTCTCACTTACCTACCGTTTGGCTCAAGGAAAACCAGGTGCGACTTGTTGGTAGTTCTCGGTCGTTTACCTGTATCTACAATAGAGATGCCACGTAGCAAGTACAACTGACAAACCGAGAACTGTTGTGTGACCAGAACCGCAAACATCAGCCAATCGGTTCTGCAGACCCACCGTTCAACGTTGAAGTGGACTGCTTTGGGTTTCCGCTTGCGCTTGTGGACAAGTCGGCAAGAGACAGCTCTTCAAGCGTACTTAGATAACAAGTTACAAACAATACGCGCATACTATAATACACATTATGCTGTATATAAGTTAATATACTAATATAATACATGTAGAGATCACTATGCCGATCCACTTTTGCAAGAAGTTAATGCTCCGCAAGATTCCACAATAATTAGAGGACGGAAAGAAACTACATACAGTGATACACCACTTGTTTCATAGGTTTGGTCCCTATCAATCTTGGCCATCGCTATTAGGTTGGAGGCCATCACTACTAGGAACAAGAAGCTACTAGTAACTAAAGTTTCCTTGGGAATCGTTTCACTGGGAATGGTTTCACCATGTTTCACCTGTAGTAACACTCAAATACAATAAAGCTTGTGGGGCACATGGGGGGGACCCAAGACTATATCGGCGTGGATTGGGCCGCAGGCGCCCTACAGTGGTCTGAGCCAAGCACCCTCGAGCACGTTGGCCTTCGGTGTGCCTGGCGGCGTTTGGGTGTGTTGGAGTGGGTAATGATTTGGACACTTCATGACACTTCCAATGATTACCCACTGGTTGCAATATTAATTTGCAATAACACTTTGGGGCCACCATCCACTGGAAGAGTGGGGCTGGGACACGTACTGGAACGCATGGAAGGCGTTGCCCAAATAAGAATTGAGACTTTTGATGGACAAGGTGTCGCACCACTTAGGATGGGGCAGGGCCCACAGCACCAAGATGCTTCATGTGCCTTCCTGCTAACATGGACCGCAAAGAACCTATGCCTTGCCATGGCAAGGCACGGGTCCGGCCAGGTCGACGGCTACAAGGGAGGCGGCCCACGCCACCGGGATCAGAAGCAACTTGACGCTGCCAGTCGTTGTGGGGCTGCCGATTGTTGGGTTCGTCACCCCCAAAACAGTGGGTAAAACAGATAGAGATCGAAATGGATGACCGGATCAGAACCACAGGATCGCCGTTAGTTGGTCAGTTAGTTGGGTTGGAGCATTGCATCACCATTCTCTATCTATCAGAGACTCCATGCACATCTTTGGGGTTTTGGAACCGACCGGTGCCATGAATGGCCGACCGGTGGGGTTACTCCACCGTCGTGTCGCGCCGGGGTGGGTTGCGCCGGAGTTCGGAGAAAGAAGACGATGAGACGGAAGAGTTACTGGCAATGAGGAGTTCGGTGCACGAATCATCGCAGCAATGCACGAAATCCAGAATGACGTTGATGCTATAGATGATGCTATAGATGATCCTGGACTGTTGTTAAGTTCCTTCTTCCCAACGTGTTCAACTCGGTGGGCAGGTGACTTCGGTGACTTACCTCTACTGGACGGTTCTACCCGAGTTATGTTCAACAGAGGAGGGTGCGGTACCTGAAGCCAGCTGATTCCCTCGCCTTTGTTGTTGGTGCTTCTTTGTGGAGATTGACCCGCAGCTTCACTAGGTCGGCAAGTTACAGCCAAAGGTGGCAAACCTGTGCACCGAGCCAGTCCCCGTTTGACAGTCCACAGGGCAGAAAATGGGAGCAGGCAGGCCCGTAAATGCCGGAAATGGGTTCGATGGATGGCCTTTTCTGACCACCGCTTGGGCCATTCCACAAGTTGGGCCCCCAAAACGGTGCGCTCAACCAACTCACGTTTGATCAGCCCAAAGCAGCTCACTGTCAGTGGCCCTGGCTGCTTCGCCCGCTCAGGCCTTCTCTTGGCCTGGGGGCCCTTGCGAGTGGAGAGTGAATGGGGGTGGAGAGGGGGGGCGGGAAAGCATAGCTGTGTTTGTTTCCGCTTGTGTTTTATGTTCGGAAAAGCACTTGGACCAGAACATGTGTTCTAGCCCTGTTTAGCCTTGGTTGTGGAAAACAAGCATGTTTAAAAAAATCCTACAGGAAGGGGTGGAACTATGACAATAACACAAAGGAACGGTTCTTTCGGCCATGGGCACATACAACAACAACAACAACAACAACAACACCAACAGCAGCAGCAGCAGCAGCAGCAGCAACACCAGCAACACCAGCAACACCAGCAACAACAACAAGAACAAGAACAAGGTACAAACAACAACTGCAGCCCCGTTACAAGATATCTTGTTCCTTTGTCTCTACAAGGGGGTGGAAACAAAATCTGCAACCCCGTCGTTGTTATTTTCACCCCCCCCCCCCGAAAACAACCAGCCAACATGTACTTTTACCAGTAGTGGTAGTGCTTGTACTAGTGCTAGTACTAGTGGTACTAGTACTAGTAGTAGTCGTCGTCGTAGTAGTAGTAGTGGCAGTGGTAGTGGTAGTAGCAGTAGGAGTAGTAGTAGTAGTAGTAGTAATAGTAGTGGTAGTCCGGTCCGCTAAGCCTCTGTAAAACTTTACTTAGAACCTCTACCACATCCTAGAGACAAAAACTGCAGCCCCGTTGTTGTTATTTTGGACACCCCCTCCAAAGATGTTGTTGCCTCTACCCCCCCCCTAGAAACAAAATCTGCAGCCCCGTTTTGACCCCCACCCCTCCAGAACAACAACCCCAAAAAAACATCAAAAAACAAGAAACATACCAACCAAGACTTGAGTACCACAACGACAAGAAGTCCAGCTACTAACATCTCTCCAAACCTTCGACCCTATCCCTAACAGCGTCTCTTTGAAATACCTGACTTGCAACATGTGACAACATGTGACAACTATGTTGGGCAGCTGTTTTTGTCTCTACGAACAACAACAGCAGCAGCAGCAGCAACAGCAACAACAACAACAACTGAGCTTCGTGAAACGGACCCTGAACGTTGAACCTGGCAGACGGGGCACCCTGTGCGGGGTCATTGTTCCACCCGGCACCTGGTTCCATGGACTTTTGACTCTCCACTAAGCAAGGCTAAGCTGGTTCGCCAGACTCACGGAAAGCAGCTGGACGTCCGGTGTCTTCGGTCAATTTGGGTTCAGGTCTGAGATGTCCGAAGACCTCTTGGACGAGTCCTCCGGGTTAGGGGGGCCCGGTGATGGGGCGGACTCACTGAATGGGGCGGTTTCTGTGCCGGGATGGATGGATGGATGGTGCTTTTGATTCATGGATGCCCGCACTGTTCTTCTCAGAAACGCAGGGCTCAGACACAACAGGTAACTGCATACTATAGTTTCGCGTTGGATGCTTGAGAGGTCAGGTAACTGCGTGTTGTCACGGGTCACTTTGAAAAACTGGTGCGGAACAAGCCTTTGTTCTGCTCCAACTGGTGCCATGTGAAGATTTGAAGTGCGCGGCTCATCCATGGCTCCACCATCATGGCTCCTTACAGCTCCGTGCTGTGGTGTTTAACGGTGGTCTTTGTTCGGGTCAGTTCCTACCATTTGAGTGATCGGCCGCCTCCAAACGTGGTGGATCCATCGTGAAAAGGCCAGGGTGGCACCCCAAACGTGGTGCCCGGAGCAAGCAGGGCCGCGAAATGGTTAGTCCAAACCGACCAAGCGTGCATATGGGTGTTGGAAGCAACTGCGCCCCAGCCCCAACAAGTTGGAACCACTTCAAGATGGTCTTGTTTTATTTCGGAAGCTTTGTTAGCCGATGCTTAGTGAGATGTGTTTGCTTGTACCTGCTTGAGGGGGAAGGCTAAACTACGTTGCTAAATGGCACTCTGGATCAGTGAGTGGAACCTCATGCTACTGATTCTTGCTTGTTCTTGCTATGCCCGCCATGCCAACTTGCAGCCACCTGGCTAAACTTGGCTTGAGGTTGCTCCTCGTCTTTGGTGCTCGCTGGCACAACGCACAAGAACTATACACAAAACCTGCGCATCGTTTGTGAAGACTTCATGAATTCACAAAGGTCGGCGAGCATGGACACACGGGAGCCAACCTGTGCAAGGCAGCGCATGAATTTGCCAAGCGGCACAAGTGAGAAACCATACTCTGCGGCGCGTACCACATGACCGTGTTGGGAAAACGCATCGGCTCTTCAACTGAAATGTTTGATAACGGGACTACACTTACAAATCATCTCATTTCAGGCCATCCCCTGTGAACATTTTATGTGAACTATATAACACCGGCCTGATGAAACGTCATTCCTGTAACAAACTCATCTCAACTCCTGCTTCAAGTACCATCAGTTACCCCTATCGCCTGTCACCCAATATCGGCCAAAACCGATGATCGCCCGACCCATGGCGCTGACCCCTGCGACGCCCCTTTCGCGGCAGGCGGATGTGAGTGGAGATTCAGGATTCTCATACGGAGTCTTAGAACCATCTGTTTGGCACCGTTTGGTATGAGTCCACCATTCGACACATTTTGGGAAGTGGTCGTAGGTTGAGTGTGGATAGCATGGTGCGATTGTTTGAGACAGTGGATGCTAATGTAGCTCTAGAGCACTTGGATAGACTGAAGTGACTGAAGCAATATACAGATACAGGATACAGTAATCTTTGTACGCCCCTCAACTTGGCAGGCGATTCATACAGCCCACAACCAGTTACAGTTAGAGTGTGCGATGCTCGCAACTATGCAGACTCTACCTTGGATGCATCGCAGTACCGTGGAGAAGTTGTTCGTGAGAGGCAGACCCTTTGTGAACCCAGTAGCTCGCAAGCGGTGCACCAGTTCCACACGATTTTGCTCACAAGGATTGAAAACTACTATCATTGAATGATATTTGTTGTGCTGTCCACTGTCCACCCTTCCTTCGTGGATCGACTGAAGAGCTTTGTTCACCGTGGGTGCGAATTCCCGTTGTTCAGCGATTCACGTGTGAGATATTGACCAAGCTAAGATAAGCTATAGTCACCTAGTCAACGACCGAGTCACCTAGATTAGTTCTATAGCTTATTTTATAGTTCGTTTGAGCTAAGCTATAGTCACCTAGTCTAGGTCCAAGATTCTGTTCAACGACCGTTCGCTGCTTGAACGGCACTTCCAGGCTTTGCGGCCTGACCACGGCCGGAGCATCCATGCAGGGAGCAGCTGTTGGCGTGGCAGCGCGTATACCGATCCTGGACTGCCGGACGGGTTTATGCGGCATACGGGCCGTATGGGGTTCCCCAACGGAAGAGCCTCGCGGCCTCACGTTTCTTCTTCTCATGGATGCCTGTGCTCCATGAGTGCAAGGCAGAGCGTGACAGTATAGAATAATCTATGAACATCTCAGTGAAAATCTCAGGTTTCCTTTCGCTTTACTGATACTCGAACCTCAAAATCCTGCGGGTCCCCCCTGTTCAATCCGTGCCACTTCTGCCTCTTCAGCTTAAGAGAAGACATGTCTTCCTTTTCTTGCCAAGGGTTTGGGGTGTTTGGGAGTCTCTTGCGTTTTGAACCACTGACACTTGTCCGGCGAACTCCTTTACCTGCCGTCGGGCAGGGGACACTGAGAAGTGAGAAGCCCAATCAGATACAGGGCGCTGCCAGTTTGAGACACAGGACATAGTCTTGTCACAGTGCACTATTGCAGAACATGTGCCTTTTCCTTCCTGAAGCTATCTCGCCCAAACTGTTGGCAAGAAAAGTGGTATGTGCTTCGTGCAACCATGCTTCTGGGAGGTCTGTTGGTTAGTAGTGGATGCTTGTCATGCACTGCTTACGTCACTACAGGGTGGTCACAGGCAGCTCTTTGCAGACAGTGCGCAGGCTTCAAGGCAGTACCACCCAACGGGTGTTCAATGAAAGCCTCGAAGATCACTCTGCCTATATAGGTAGCTGAAGTGGTTTCAGGTATTGTTGTCCATGCTCACCCAATTTGTGTGCTTGTGATGGCACACATGCACACAGCGCACAGCAAGAATCTCAACCACACAGTGGCCGCCGCAGGATTTCTTAGAGCTCCTGGCCATGCAGCAGGAGTGCACGGGCAAAGTGGGGCGGATGGCAAGATGGATGCATTGATATCCTGATTGGACACCCTTCCCTCTCAGCTGAAACTGGAGAAACTGCTCCTGTAAGCGCCCCTCTTCCAGGGACAAACAAGGCATGATTGCTTGACCAATGTACATGCGCAGGGTGTTTCTGTAGGCAAAATCTGTATACATATATATATATATATAGACTGTGACTGTCCATCAACCCTACTGGCCCTACCAACCGCCACCAGGCCACACCTTTGCCACGTCCGTCGTTGCGGCTGCGATGGCTCGGGCACGACACCGACACCGGCGGGTCAAAGCGCAGCCGGTGAGCGCGGAAGGCGGGGACGAGTGGCCCCAAGCTTGTTTCGACTGAACTTTGCTTTTGGTATCTTTTGGTGGTATTTGACTTTTTTTCACGTACTTTTTGAAATTGTTTAATACTGGCCAATGCTGTAGTTGTGTCACCTTTTAGGTCAAAGAAGTCCAGCTGCGAGTATACCAAGTCACATGGTTTGGAGTATGCTAAGCTGCTCAGAACTCAGCTGTTTCTGGGGTGGAGTGCAATGCTTACGGCTTACATTTCTGGACTTGGATGGGAGGCGCTGCAACTACTACGACTTCACACCGGAGACGCTTGACCATAAAAGGTGGGCAACACAAAACGTGCCTTTGGTTTTCAAAGAGTAGAACATCCCAATAAGTATAAGAGTCAGCATGTGATTTGGGATGGGGGAGTGCTCCAGCTCCGGCTCTTGTTCGAGCCCATGGGGCACGAGGATGACTCCCACCTATTTGATGAGAATTGAGCACATGCAAATGCATGCACCTTCACCTGACATAGAAAACTTAGAAAACCAATGAAGAATGTGGGGGCACAGCTGAGGCAAAGTTTCTGACTGACTTTGCAGCCAGAAGACTTTTGACAAACACCCCAAGTAACCTGTGTCGATGGCGATGGAGAGAGAGAGAGAGAGAGGGAGAACTTGGACACAGCTCAACCAGAAGTACAACCACAATTACACATGTTGGATCATGTTGATCATTGGTTGCTCCAGAATGCATGATAATTGCTCACAAAAGTTTGAAGCATGTTGAAGCGTAACTTGTGTTGAAGCGGAACAATTCATGATACGTCTATGATGTCTACGCATCTCGTTTAATCATGTTTAATCCAGCTAATCTCGTTGGAAGGTCATGTTAAAATACGCACCTCAAAGCTCAAACCGTTACCCTGCTTTGCATTGTTTTGCCTACTTACAGCCAAGCAACCCCACCGGGAAAATCCAAGCTCACCATGTCGATCCTCTTGGGTTTCGGTCGGCCCAGAAAGAGACGATAGTGGCTCAATGCCTCCATGCGGCTCCCAACCGAGCAGGGAGGCTCACTCCGTCAAAAAGCCAGCTTAAGAACGGCCTGTGCGCCCCGATGCATGGCCCCATGCGTGTATGGCCCATGCATTGGTCGGGACTCAGGATACTTCCACTTCATTTTGCTCTCCACCGCCGTGCGGAGCTTCGAAGCGGGCGTGGTGGCCTCGATGATGCCCTCCATCCGTCAAGGCGCGGACAAATTCAATGCGAAGCCAGGGGCGTTTCACGGGTAGCAGGGCCGTGAATTGGATTTGGTATGATTTGGTTGGTTGATGTTGGTTGGTCGAATGGCTGGAGAGATGATGTTTGGATCTTAAGGTTTGCATTTCGAGGTGCCGCGGCTGCTCAAATGTTGGGACACGATCGGTTGTCCAGAGAAGCTCATCGCAGCTCACCTTCGTCCTTTCCAATTTCTTCACCACCACCCATCACCCAGAGTTGCAAAGCACAGCTCAGCTCCGAAAGATGAGGCCTGCAGCTCAGCTACACCAGCCAGGGTAACGTCGCCGGGTCCCCGGATTACGGTGCCTTGGCTGCGCATCCGCGTTAGCGCGCGGAGACCTCGGCCGGTGTGTTGGGGGCGAATGTTTCGCACCGAAGTCCTGAATGTTTACTAATGGTGTTTGTGATGGGGTCTAATACAGTACACGTTTTGTGTTTACGCAAATCATGATTATACCATTTGTATACCCTCTTTGTGTTGATAGGGATGTTTTTGGGGCACTCGTCCATTGCACAGGGCCCTGACGATACACCCTGCGGGCATCAGCTAGCAACCAATTAATCCACGTGTCATGCTGGCGCAAGGGCGTTGGACGGCCTACCGTCGATGGAGTCTTTAGACAACAGAGTAGACCACCCGCAAAGTCTTAACTTCCAAACGTAACTATATAAACTAAACTGGAGCTCCTGCCAAAGGCCTCAGATTTGTTCAGCACAAAGCTTTTCAGCAACAGAGGTGCCACTGTTTGTGCCACGAGGAGGTGTGGAACTGAGGCATTGTGCCCAGCGGTTTGTTGGCGATGGCCATCTTCAAACGCTTCTCGCCCTTCGTAGCCTCTTGGTGCCAGGATTGGCCGCCAGTGAGTGAGGTGGCACCTCTTCTTCCCACCCTTGTTCTGTGAGGATGCAGTGGCCATGATTTTGAAGATAGATAGGAACTGTAGGAACAGGTTGAGATGCTTTTTGTTGGTAGCAGCTCAATGCAATTCTGTGATCAAAGCCAATTCCACCCCTAAGTGGATCCAAGTAACCCCTCTACACTACACCGCCTGAAGTATCAGATGTATAAGGAACGGTTTTCCGGTCGCGCAGAACCTCGTCGTTTGAAGCACGGAACACTGAATTTACTAATCGAAGAGACCGGAACACCCACCAGAGTTCAGGTCCTCACCTCCGGCTACTTCATCATTTCAGCTGTCTCTGTGTGCTGCGCGCTGCTGCCCAGCTTGTGGCTTGGTGACGACGCGAGACCTCATGTGGTTTGCACCTATAGGATTCTACTAGGACCTAGCAAAAGAAAAAATATAGGATCCTATAGGACCTAGCTTATATACCGAGTTCAACTGATGCGTCCGATTTTTTTTTGCTGCGAAAAGCGACCGTCGCTCCGATGCATGGATTTGGTGGTCACTCCCACCGAGCCGCGACAGCGAGGTGGAAGGGGTTTGGGCCGCCAGCAGGCGACCAAGGAAGGAGAGAGAGAGAGAGAGATCTGGGAGCAACCACACAAAAGAGCCGAGTTTTGAAAGAAGAATCTCAGAGAGAATGACCCAACGTGGAGAGAGAGAAGCCTCCACCCTTTTGGAAGCAACTTCGAAGCAGCAAATCTGCCAAATATCTCCAAACCCGAGGCCTACGCTGGTCGCGGCGCGTGCCATCGGCGGTTTGTGCTGGGGCCTGGCAGCGGTTCACTATCCCACCTGGGTGAACAGGCGAGGGATCGCATGCGATCGCCCCGCAGGGATCGGGCCACATGAGTTGGGAGGTAGATAGATGGGTTGCCGTGTTGGAAATCTGATACTTTTTTGTGATGGGAAAAAGCAGGTGGCCTGCAAAAGCGTCTCCAAACAGTTATAGAGAGTGGTAGATATTCTGAGCATTGAGGGCAGTTGCTTACCTATACAGGTTGTACCTCTTTCCTTCCTGTATCCCCCTGATGGCTAGATCTCAGTACTGTAAATCTTCCATCTTCCAGTGCAGATGCATTAGGACTCTTCGGTCTACCACGCACCCTCCTATACCCGACCCGGGAGCCAACAGAGCCCGGTCGGTGATGTCGAGGTACGGTCCTGCCGAGCAGCGAACCCTTTGGATGGCGGGCATCAATGCCATGCTGTTGACGGGCGCCTCGGACGTGAGGGAGAAGGAGGTTCAACAGACCCTAGGGCTCCTGGCCTACCTCCAACAGCTCACGTGGTTTGGTTGGGGTGGGTGCCAGGGGGATGCCTTTTGAGGATGTGGCTGCCCAAGGGATAGATAGAAACCCCAAGAGAGATGTCAAGAAGGGATTCACGTTTCGGTCCTATGTTGGGGTCACTTGCGCCATTGATGGCGCAAGATAAAGACAACTCAAATGAACAACTTTCCTGAGCCCCCGGAGAAGCCAAAAGGAATGTTGAACGAACAATCGTGGAGATCATGGACCAATTTGATTGGACATTTTTCCAAATATGTGACATAGTGACACATAGTAACCCCTCACCTTCTGGAAGCTTATCGCCGAGCGGGTTCGGCGCCACACTTTTTTTGCCTATAGTATATAATTAGTGAAAAGCCGCGAAAAGCCCATGACCATTCCACAATTGAGAAAACATCGAAACTGCGTGCGCCAAGTGATTCAAACCAGTCTCAAACTTGAGAGGTGAGATTGAGAGGTGTTGGGAATGCAACGGGATTGGGGATTTCCGGGTGTGTGACTGGAGTGAATCGCCCGTTGGATTCACCCTCCTCCGATTCGCCCCCGAGGCATTGTGAGTGGCTATGCTGGGAGACCTAGATGGTTGTTCATTCGTCATCGTCATCCCCCCCAGTCTTGTCCTGTTGGTGGATCGGAGGTGTGGAACTCCGACAGCAGAACACAACAGAACATGGTGCGAAGGGAACTGCGAGGAGTTTTAACAGATTTGATCTAAAGGGTTTTAAGCCATTATGTGTCTTCTGGGTTGCCCTGCTTTGTGTGACAGAAATAGATTTTGTTTGTGCACTCGCTGTGCCAAAAGAGGAGTCAATCAGATTCTGGTACAAGAGGCTACCTTGGAATCAACACATGTATAATATATGTATAGGACACTCCCTAGTTGAAATTGCCATACATTGCCATTATCACACACCATCCCACGCAACAGATCACAGGCAAACTGTCTAGATGTTCCTTCTTTCTTCGCCTTCACCTCACAGTGCTTGAGGTCTTAGGTGGCCTGGCCCGTGCGACTGGCGCAGCACGCTGGGAGAGCTTGTATTTGTGCCTTGGATGATTTGTCTCTAGCACCCTGGGCACGTTTGCAAACTTTCAAGATCGCATTGAACGATAAAGGTATATATCTCAGCAGTATCTCCTCCATATATCCCAAAATGCACCAAATGAAGGGAACCAGAGCATTCCATCGAAACAAGGAATTGTTGGGGTCCTGGACATTCCAGCGATTTTTCCGTCGTTGCATCCCGACTGTCTTCCACGTGCTCCCATCCACGTGTCTTAGATCTGACCCAGACACGCCATTGAACATACAGTAGTTATTCCCAATTATATACAGTATGCATACATTGGGGTTGTCATAAGGGGTCAATATGCCTACATGACCAATCATGACGTAAACAAAGTAAATAAAAAGTGTGTGGGATATATTAAGTCTGCAGAATTGACACAAGATTCCCAAAAACCTCCGTGAGTGACAAATGTGTGTCCTGGCGGGAAAACATGCCTTGGTCCTGTGGAAACCTGCAAGGGGTTTTGCAACGACTGATGAGTTATACATGTTATACCGTTATACCTTCAGGTTAGAGGATTTTGTCAATCTCGACAAGACGTCTAAGGCTGGAAGCACTGCTGATGTTCTCTTGCGCTTTGCTGGGCAGTCGCTTTGAGCCTTCAGTAGTGCAGGCGGCTGGATCCTTGTTCGTTTTGCACGCTTGCTTGTTTGTGAGAGGGAGGGCTTTGTCTAGTGCATAGGTAGAATCTCTTTGAGACGCCAAACAGTTTTCAATGGTTTTCACATTTTTCTGAAAGATCTATTTGGTTGAAAGCGGTCAATGGGGTGGTGACATTCCAAGTCCAAGGGAATTGTTTCTTGGGAGGCAGTCAGTATTGGTCAAATGATGTTACTTTGGTCAACACGTGGAAATGGGGTTTGTGAAGCAGTGCTCCCTGGGTTTGGTGATGTAAATGTCATTAAATGTCCCTGATTGTGCGTATATAGAGTGTAGACAGTGTAGACCATCCATATTCCTTTGCTCGTTGGACATCGGAGGGATGCAAATACATAGTTGCAGGGTTAAGTATACTCCAACTCCAACACGTAAGTTACATTGCAAACCCTCAAAGCCAGGCTATAATTACTAGCAATGGCCTCCAACATCCTCCAAACTATATCTAGCAATGGCCTCCAACCTAAGTGAACATCAGTTTGTAGATGAACTAGGAACAAGAAGCCACTAGGGGCTCCTGGCCTTACTACTAGGAGCAAGGACGCTATGCCATTCTTTGTTCCACTGTGCTGCTTCCGCACCGTGTGGTCCGCGTCAGGTGGAGCCAGCTCCAGCTTCGAAGGCAGAGAAGTCTGACGTCACAGGCCGACGTCCACGGTGCGGCCGGGTGGCAAAAAGTGGGTGGAATAGAAGATGAAGTATCGAACACCAGGTGGTTTGACGTTTCTTTTGGTGATAAGAAGATACAAATATCTTTTGGCATGTGTGTGTGTGTCATCATTTCAAAATCACAACAGTTCAACAACGTGCTTGGGATTTGGGACACTTTGGGGGCTGGAGCTCTGTCATGACGTCCAGGTGAGAGGAGCTTTTTTCCCAAAGAGCTGGTCGCCTTGGGACGTGACTCGCCGCGGAGCCTCCAGGGGGGGCCAGGGAGGAAGGTTCGCCAGCAGATTCAGATGCTGAACATATCCTTTCAACATGTGTTGGCAAGCATCTAGTTTACAACTTCCACATGTAGCTGTGTAGCTACTGACACACCTCCAACTCCCCAACTTGACGTATTATATACAGTCTGTTCAAAAGAGTAGATGGAAGAAACCCCAAGAGGTCTTTTAGATGGGTGTCCTGCGGTCCACATAACCCCAAACTTGGGGATTGATTGTGCCATCCACAGTACTCTGAAACCATTATAGTTTGTCCACCACCCCCTAAGGTTCAGGGCTTTTCCTTTCCACCTTGGCTGCGGGTTGCTTCCAATCCGGCGCTGTGGGCTTCATGCCCCTCGGATGCCGAATGGGTTTTCTTCGGGCCTTCGTTCGTTCGGACGCTGCTTTCGGAAAGCTCGTGCAAATTCAATCAATGTCGTCAGTCGTTGGAAGGGCTTTCCCTAGAGCCGGTTTGGGCTCAGGGAAAGGTCACAACGAGTGAGTCGTGGATTTCACCTTCGATTTGTAATTGGGAGGCACCAAGCTCAACGACAAAGTCGGCTGAATCAAGAGTCCCGAGTCCCTAGTTTGAATCTCGTCCAGACCAGCTGACCAACTGAAGGAAGCACCCCGGCATGTGAGGCTTGCGAGGTGGTCAGATTGGTGGCCCTTTCCTATCAACAAGTTCATTGTCCTTAGGGGGGTTGACCCCACTCAATTGACATGCATCAGCTCAAAAAGCTATGACATAAATTAAATTTCACCATCCTGGAATCCAGGAAAAAGCACACAAGTAATCCGCAGAATCCCGAAGAGTCTCCCAACTTTAACCAACTGCCAAGAGTCCCTCACTTTGACTGTTGATCTCTTGGTGAAGAACTTCTGATCCTCCCTGCGACCTTATAGCTGGTGGATGGCATGGATGGCCATGCAGCCCCAACAGGCAAAGTTACAAAATCATTTTTTTTGTAAACTTTGTGTGCCCTCGCTTCTCCCAAACGCCTCTTAGGGTGGGGATCACTCGAAGTCAAGTGATTTGTTTTTTTGGGTTTGTCCGTCAAACATGACACCCCTAACTAAAAACATGTTTTTTGGTTACCTACCACTGAAGGCTCGAGTCAAGTCAATGGTTCTCATTTCGGAGAAGCAGGGGTGGTGGTGACAGTGTCAGGTTATACTTCATTACTCAAGCGTTGGCAGCGATCTTCCACTGGTCACCACGCATCATTTACATTTGTGTGCCTTGGCATGGTTAGGAGCTGATTATTTGCATTTTGATCGTAGCAGCTGACTGATGCAACCTGATGATTATGCTTTTCTATGCTTTTCTCATTAACACTGGAACGGATGTTTGTCACAGGGTTTGAGCTGAATGGGAGGGATGTTTCATTAGAAGCGAGTGTCATGCGATCTTGCTTTGATGCGAAATGAAGCTAGCTCGGGCATGCAAGATCGAGTCTACAGCGGTTTCACCGCGCCAGAGATGCCAACTAGGTAAAGTGTTGGGATGAGTTTGCCGACTTTCGTGACAGTCGTATAGGGAATCCGTCGACAAATGTCGATCTACTAACTCCGGTTCGACCGCTCCAAAAAGTGCTGAACTACGTAGCTTGTCTACACAGGGAGCCTATGTAGATGCCAACAAACTTGGGGCAAGTGTCAGAGAGGAGAGTCTTGAGAGAATGAGAGGACTCGCCATTCATGGGATGTTTGTCTCCCTGAGGTGACCAAAATACTTGAGGTCTCGGCTATAGGAGATACAATATACCCTTCCAAACTGACAGATATTTTCCGGTCGAGGCAACCAATTGTGTCACCAGCCGGCTTGTCCAGCACCGGGTCACCGTTCCATTCGACCAGGTGAGCTTGGTGATCACAGTGGGTCCGATCGGTGGCATCGTCCTGGGAGTCACTTGGGAGTCATGGAGCCGGTGTTGGACCTGGGATTTAGATGGATCTAGCAGACCTAGTATAATGTAGACTCTTAATTAAGAACCCCACCAGACATTGAAGTGGAACGTCCTCTTCATATGGGGGGGTTATTAATCAAGAGTCTACATTATATAAGACCAAAACAACCTTTGTGGATCTATGATGATCTATGTGTGTTCTGTTCAGTTACTCTAGGATGCTCCGGTAGATCTTGTAGTCACAATTAGCTTGAGATAAGACACTCTTCTTGGAGACATACGTTTAGCGCAAAGGCGTCTATTCATACTAGAAATATGTATTCAAATTGTATCATTTGGCATTCTATGACACATATGATGAAAGGTGCTGCTCATGTGCCGCTCGCACCCTGAACGAAAGACAAGCGCAGTTCGATCAGCACCTTATCACGGGTTGTCCCAGGCTGCCTACCTCAACCGTGCTGGAGGCTATCAGAACTACCGACGGGCACATCAGATGAGCGTCTCTTGGGCGCACAAAGCCCTCGAAACGTTGCTCTAAAGGTCAACATTCTAGATTATATATAAACATTGCAAGATATTGAAAGTATGTTAAAGGATGTTAAAGGTAATTGTCAAAGATTCTGCGTACTGTACTCTGAAGGTCACTAGTTCTCTTGATTAGAACTGCATGTAAAGCATTGAGTTATTGTTTTCCTTTGTGACTGATCGAAACCCTTTACCCTCGCCTTCGTGCTTCCTGTAATGATATATATTTTATTTGTTGTCGCAGAGGTTGACAGACTTCTTCTCCTAGTATCAGTAGGATGCATTTCTAATGTTAACATTGCACAACAGAGGATTGACACACCATGCGCAGAAGGAACAGACGGGCCTACGGCCTACAAAGAGCAACTCCCGTTTAGCATGACGATTCTGCTTGAATTTGTTAAATAGCCCTAGGATGACCTCAGCTAAGACAAGATCCCTACCCCCTTTAAAATGAAATTGGAGGGGGGGGAGACGCTTGAAATGTAATTTTCTGTTTTTTTGGTGGCTTAGAACAGTATCAGCATACATCTGAACATATTTGAACAGCCAGAAGCCCCAACAGCAGCAGCAGCAGCGGCAGCAGCACATCGACGACGAGAAGATTCTGGACTTTGAAGGCAGGCTTTTGAATATCGGCCTATTTAAAGAATAGGATTGGACTTTGAGCTGAGCATGTTTGAAAGGCTTTGGATGGTCATGAGCCCACTGCCGGATGTAGTTTCCAGAAACAGCACTTTGCAAAATCAAGAAAACAGCCCACTTTATCTAATTTTTAAAATTGGCACAATCCCATCCCCATTGCCTGCTGAAGCAAGTTGAAAAGCCCCAAGCAAAAAAATAAGAACCAGGATTGATTCCAACATAAGTGATGATCAAAGCTTCTAGAGTGGGAAGGCTTCACTCCCCCATGTAGCGCCCATAGATTCAACAGGTCGCACTCGATGAATTCGGTGAATCGTTGTCGAATCACGTCGAACCCAATGAACCCACAACTTGTGCAGGTGGACCTCTTCCACATCGAGCTGACCAGCGGCATCAAGACTTTAAATAGACATACATTATATATATAAACCTGGACGAGGCAATTGAAATATATTGAAATTAAACAGAAAGTAACCGGGACGAGAGAGTAGGACGAGGCACGGCAATTGAAAGAAAATTAGTATATTATTATTGCCCAGATACCTAGATCAGCAGGCTCCGCTCAAGGAAGCATGAGATACACATCCGTGAACGGCGATGTCTTTCCCTTCATGGTTTTTAAAAGGATGAAGTGAAAGCAACTGCGCACTTCCAAGATGTAATGTGCACAGCCGCAAGCAGGGCAATCAGTGTTCAACCACCTGTCACCCATGGCACACTTTTGGCGCCCGCCGTTGCCGCACCACTGACCTGGCTGTGCGCCCTGGCCAAGTCCTGGCAAGATCTCGGCAACTTTCGGAACATCAAGCTGGTGTTTTCCAAATTGGCAGCCACCTCGATGGCAGGAACACGCCTCAAATCCAGTTTTGGGGTCCTGGAACCTTTTGTTTCGCCCTGTTGTTGGAGTGCTCCTGCAAGAGATTTCAAGAGATGACGCTTTCTGTTTAGCAGCCGTATATACAAATTCAGTTACCTTGTTTTATGTCTGGGCATGTCTGGGCAAACCTTGATGAAGAAATACATATGGTCTTCGCATGTCTTCGCTCTATGGTTGAAATTGAAGCATCTAAAGAAAACCATTGAAACCTTTCACAAGTAATTCGGCCCAATACCCCCTCAGGAGGCTTCTTGCTGTCACAAAGCGGATGCGGAGTAGCTTGCGTCAGGTGGAAGCTTTTAGACGAGAGACTCAGAATGTCTGAAGCAGAAAACACTCGAGCAGATCTGGCCACAGTTTCAGGATGATGGAAAACCAGTCTGCAGCACCGTTGAACCCATACATCGTTTGAAGCACCAACTGGCTGGATACAGGCAGTTGCCTTTAAAAACCAAAAAGTAAAAAAAACACTGACTCGCCCATGTTGACTCCGACGTCTCCTGCTGCTGCCATGGAGACCGGCGAATCGTCGAATGGCGACTCGCCGAGCGAGTCGCCAACACTTGTGCCGCCTGCGGAGGAGAGATGTCCACGTTATGAGGATCTGTGTTCGAAGAACCCTCTCTGCCATTCTCTGAGGTTCTCAGAGATTCAATCCAACAGAGTCCTACCATCAGGACCCTCCCCCCGGCTTTGGCGCTCTAACTGCTGCGCTGGAAAAATGTGGGGGTATTGAACATGGCCGGGACCGGACAGACCGGCCGATCTTTCTGCACATGGCACATCTGCCAACCACTTTGCTGAGTAGGCCTTCCTGTCTTCACAATATGTTTGCCTCCCACTGACAGCGGACACACCACCACGACTGCTCTGTTTCCCACCCAAAAAACCCTGCAACCTTTGATTCCGCTATCAGAGCTTGGTTTTGGCCTTGCCTGGCCTTACTGGTACCTCATATTTCTCTCTCTCTCTCTCTCTTGCCATTTACATCGTCAAATCTTGAAGGACAGGAGCTGGTGGAAGCGCTGTGGCGTGCGGAGGCCCGCCGTGCGCTGCAGTTCACAGAGTTGGCGCAGGAGCCAAACCTTCTAGTGTATATTGCTGCTCCAACATACAGCCGCTGCGTTTTATTCAGGCCGTTTCATGACCGATTTGTGGAGCAAAATTGCATTTACTTCGTTCCCATTTCAACCTACATGCCTGCCTGTCCCTTGAAGATCTGCAGGAGAACCATGCTGTTCACAACATGGCAGGAGTATTGGCAGAAGACACTTAGCATCAACATCATTCGACAGCCATTTGGGGAAGGCCGTGGAAACCTCCAGGAACGCAGCTCTTTGGCAGCCGGCTTGCAGCAACACAATCAATACCAACATTGAAAATTACTTTACTTCGAGTGGTCCCCACCATGACATTTCAAAACAGCCACGTTGACATCACCCTCGTTGTGTATTTCAGCCCATAGCACAAGTCCTTCAGCGCCAAGTCTTACTGTTTTGTCCGAAGCGAGTGCTTTCATCAGGAGACCTGTGCCCAACTAATTTTGTGGTTGTGCGCTTGTCATTGCGTGTTTGTGATTGTGGCTGTGATTGTGTGTTTGTGGTTGTGTGCTTGTGGTTGTGTGGTTGTTGTTGTGTGTTTGTGGTTGTGTGTTTGTGGTTGTGTTTGTGGTTGTGTTTATTTGTTTGTGGTTGTGTGTTTGTGGTTCTGTGTTGTGGTTGCTGTCTGTTTGTGGTTGTGTGTTTGTTGTTGTGATTGTGGTTGTGTGTTTGTGGTTGTTCGCAAGTGGGCAAACTAGACAACAGTCGCGTCTTGGCGGCCAGTTCACTGGGGGCCAGGATGATTGAACATCATATGCCCCCCGATCCCCTACAAATTTAATCAACTGTCATTGTGCTTATGAAATGGCGATCATGAAAGAAAAGCAAGAGCCCTTATAGCGACAGTGTTTGACACACACACACACACACTCGCACCTTTTCTCATTGCTCTGACATCAGCTCTTTGCTTGGAGGCGGCCTCCTCCTTGGAAGAACAGAGTGGGGCCCAAACAAAGGGCAGCTGAGTTGGTCTCACAGCGAGCCGTTGCTCAAGCGCGTCAAAAAGTGGGTGTCGCAATACTATTTGAAGTGTTTCTGCAGATTCAGGGGAATCTAAAATGAAACGGGGATGTTGTGATTTGACCCCCCCAAGATGGTAGGGATAAGACCAGGCATATGGTCAAATCTTGTGTTCATATATGAGGCTTTTGTGAGGTCACCTGGTCAACTGCTAAGTGCCCTAAACATTATTCAAAGCTGTTTGAGAGCCACTGGAACACTTACTAAAGCGTTTCCATAGTATGCAGTATGCTTCCATGTTTTCGTGACCAAGTTCCTCCCTCTTGCTGGGGGGGGATGGGGCTCGGGCAAGACAGGTGGTTCTCAAATAACTGCGGTACGATGGCTGTTGTCGCTTCTTGACTGCTCCTTATTACGTTCTTGAAATATGGCATCTTGTTGGCTTTGTTTCTTGTAACTAATCCCGTTTGTCAGCTCCAGCGGGGTAGTTCATGATTGTAGCAAGCCCGTAGCTGATGGGGGGTTCGGACCGCAAGAACATTTCCTCTATCAAATGGGGGAGGTGCACCCATGCAATGAAACACATTCATTAAGGGGGCCCTGGATAACTATGTTTCTTTCAGTGCTTCCTATTTGTTTAACTTTGTTTGAGGTTGTATGAACATCTCAGGCTAATCTACCTCTGTTTTACTTGGCGCGTGCGAGCTGTGCAAACATTGTTGCTCCTGAGATCTCGCTAGTGATCTAGTGCTGACACGTGTATGCTAAACGCCGCTGTATTGTCTTCAAATATCAAGAGAAAGTGGGGTCCTTCCTGCTCATTTTATAAACTATGTATGAATATATCATATCAAATTTTTCATTCTAGGGTGCTCCATCCTGCGCTTGGTGGATCCATCCCACCATTCTTTGTCACAGTCTAAGAAATGGTTGGCACCGGACCCCCTAGCCTAATTGTTTTAAACTGGATATCCTGAGGCTACATGTGCGATTCTCAGTCTCCTATGCGGCTGCTGCATGCTGGCAGGCGGGAATGGGTGTTGTGACTCGGAGTTGGCCTCAGACAACGGATGACAACGGCTTCAGAGACAAGTTGTTGAAACATGTTGACAACACCAAATAAGTGAGGCATGAGGTCGTAGGTGTTTGATGAACTGGACTTTCCCCACCACGACCCGCTCAGTCGTTATCCTCCCCTCCCCCACATAAAACACCTTCGGTGAAACACAGCCAAGGGGCAGGGGGCCTCGCCATTCACTTCAGCAAGGTTCAGGTGGTTCTTTGCACCGGAGGTGGCTTCTTTGTCCATCTTACATCTTGGATATACGAAAACCCTTTGCCCATCAGAGCCATCTGGAGTGACCGTGTCGAAGCAGGGACTGCGTTTAGGCTGGACCGGGAACGAAAAGGAATTAGCACATCTCAATAACCCCCCACCACCACTTGTTGCACCCTTTTCCTACCCCACCACCTTGCATGTGCTTCTTTGCTAGCACCAGCTAGGCGGCTCGCCCTGGATTTATGGCCTCGCCAACTTGGGGCTGTTGCTCTTTGGCGCAGCCCCCACAGCAGCCATCAATGGTATCGCTTCTCGGGTGAGATCTGGCCCGATGGAGTAGCGCGGTGGAGGGGTTGGCAGATTAGCTGGACCTCTTCCCAGAAGATTCAATTTCGAAGGGTATGCATGTTGCATCATGTTGCAACATGTTTACTTTCTGTGTTCAATCTCTGCCAAAAAAAGTGCAAATGTACCCAACAAAAATCCCTGGTGGGTGTCGATCTGACAGCGCATACATCGGGAGATACAGAGGCGGACTCTTCAAGTGGATCAAGAAGCCTCGCTAAGCAAGTGATGGCGGCAGTTTTCACTATGGCCGAGTCTTTGCGCTTTTGTGAATTTGTATTTTGCTGGGTGTTCAGGGCGCTTGTGCATTGGTTTGTGTGGTGATATTTTGGAGGGGCACCCATAAACTGAAGACGCTGCCAGGCAGGCCTTTGTCAATGGACCGAATATAGGCGAAGTGGTAAAGCCGAAACAGTTGCGTTTGTTGGAATATCACCTCGATGCTTCGGCAAGGCCTACCATATTCGATGAAACAGCGGATGAAGAAACTCACTTATATAGATCCAGGGTGAACATCTCCTGAGTGAAACGGCAGGACTCAATCGCCAAACAAACAGGTCGGCAATGACAGCTAACATGTCTTGAACCAAGTCCAGGATTCTTTACACTGCAAAGGCCGTGGCACCTAAGACTGGACAAGAATGTTGTCACCTCATGGCTTTTGGTAAAACCATGTCTTGGGAATGGAGTGAAGTTGGAGGAACTTGATTTGCTTTCTTCTTTGGGATTCACCAAGGCTGTGTCTTGTGTGCCGGAAGCCAAACACTTCGCCAGCGCCACCCAGTTTGCTGCGCCGCTTGGAGGGGACGTTGGAGCGAGCTGGTCTGGAATGGGGACAGGGTCAAGTCCAAAATCAACACCTCCGACTCCACCTGGGATGGCTCGGTTCATTTTGTGGATATGTCTCTTTCGGAGCATGCAGGTTCCCAAACTAAAGCCAAGCTGCCGAAAAGGAGCTCAAGTTGGATTTCCACTTCCCCTGCTAGGTTAACTGTGATTGTCGAGCCTTGTCAAGGAGTGGTGGTCATATAAACGGCAGACATGTGTCGGAGTAGGGGGATCAAATAGCTCTGGTAGGTAGGCCCTGAAAACCCACGCAGTGGAAGTGCACATTGCGCGTACCCAGAGGCACAGAAGGGCACGACAGTTGGAAACAGATCTAGTCACCTAGCTATTAAAATCATTATGAAGTGTGATATAATGTAGTATATATATATATGTGTGTATATCATGTGTATGAATCCATTGATGCTACTACATGTGCAAGCACATGTCCTTCCGACCGAGTCCATCAACGGAACCGGACCCCTCCTTTCGACCGACGCCCCGGGCATTCACGGGTGTGCCGGGAAGGGCACGGATGACGCCAGGCAGAACTTGGCCAAGCTGTTGATCCCCTTGGTCGGCGGCATTGTCATCGACCATTTGGGGCCTTTAGGTCGAAATGGAAGAGATGGAGCAAAAAATGAGAAGTAAAGGGAGGTTGAGAATGGGATTTGGCCAAGGTGTCCCTTTTGGATCCCCTCATGGATCAGGTTGAGGCCAGATTTTGGGAAGAGTGGTCTTTGGGTTGTTGCATGGTGATAGTGATAGTAGCTTGGTTGGTTCGTTTTTTTGGCGCTGAAGCAGATGCTTCTGAAGTGTCACGTGGATGGCCCAGGAGGCTTGGCTGATCTGAACAGCTGCCATGGATTCATTCTCAACCAGTATATATGCTAATTAATAGAATATACACAGTTATACACCGTCATATTCGCAGGGATTCCCACGGGCAACAGGGCGACGGACATGCTATAACAACCCGGCCCCTGCTTATGAAGATCCGAGCAACACACTCCCCAGAGGGAAGGTTGGTGGAGGGATTCATGCATCACCTGGCGCAACAGACCCTTTTCCCTAGGGATCCAAGTAGCTTCTCAGAATGTGTTTGGACACTCCAAACCTACATAACAGTGTCTCCAATCACCTTCCGAGAGGGTACTTGGATCCTAAGGGTTTCATCTCTTTCCATGCTTTTGCATGTGATGCCTGGGCACCCAGAGGACCCAGAAGCAAAAACGACAGCAACGAGTCAATGAGGGAATATTGGTTGCTTCATGCGAGCCAGGCCGCATGCAGCTAGCAACTAAGCATGTTGTTGATGGGACAAGACTTCATGCATGAGATGCTCAGGGTGTTCTACTTGGTGTTACACCCGTAGTGTGGACTCACGGGTGAAGACGGTGGGCACTGAGATGCACTGAGGCTTGTCAGAGGCTATCATGTGGTGACTGTGGGACTCTGAGCTGCACATCAGCATGACGCATGGTGTCACCACCCTATGCAGGGATGCTTGTAGCCATGTCAATTCCGGTTGTGGCTACATTCAGACCAGAACAAGAAGTCTTATCAACATCGAGTGCCCGAATTTGGTGCCAGTCTCAGGCCATTAATTTTGCTGACTCCCTTTATTGACGTGCGGATGCTGGTTGTACCCCTCAAAAGGCACTCATTTGTCCTGTGCCTGCGAGACTTTGGTCACATGTTTCTCCATCCGCCAAGCATACAGAGACATGCTACCCATCACAGTGTTGAGAGCATCAGGAGCGCTGCTGTGCTATGCAGTGTCCTCGTTGATCGCATTCTTCCAGGCGACGTGCGCTTTGTGAATGCCAATTTGTGTTATTTTGTGTTATACTATATTTAAAACACCCAATGTCATTGATAACAGTCTTGAGTGATATCCTGGATATACGGGTCACCAGTCATCCTCAAACATACCACTTGTGACGGCTAGAGTCAGAAACAGACATACACGTAGAGGCCACCGTGGCACCAGACCCAACTTCCAGATGGGTAAAAACATTCAGGGCAAGTTCCTCAACGTCAAATATCAAGTGAATTATAGTGAAAACATGTTTCCCTTAGGGCTCCTGGCAGGCTCCAAGTTGAAACCACTCAGAACATACCAACATGGCCTTTAGCATCCTTTAGCCGTAGCCTTTAAAGCCATTTTTTTTTGGCAAAATCATAGCAGATACAGGACAAAAGCTTCGAACAGGAATGGAGGCCATGTGTGATGCGTATTGACGCCCCAAGTTGCGTGTTTCCAAGCAATGGTCAGTGTGTCATATATCCAGAGCCCGGCGACACTCCTGCCGCGCTATGAACCTGTCCGCCTTTCGCAGTACCCTATAGAACTGTCAGACATGTGTTTGGAACATCAGTTGCACGGCCTCGGTGCGAAAGCGAGGGACCCTGCCACGTGCCAATCCCGACCGGTGGCGGTATGGACCTCCATGACGTTTTCATGTGGTAAAGACCGCCCACGCGCAGTGTGTGTTGTAAAGCGGTTGAGGGAGGCTCCTAGAGGGGGGCGCGGGTGGGGGACGGGTGAGGCACTTAGTGTTTTGGCCCGGTTTCTGTTGTAAAGACTTTGGCCCGGTTTCTTTGAGACCAACCGTTTGCAAGTCCTTTACAGAAGTTTGTCTTTGCGGTGCTTTTAAATACGAAGAAGAACCCGGGTGAAAATGAACAAACCAAACACACAAATCAAGTCTGTAATTCATTTGCAAGGCTGGACCACTGGACCGGCCAAAAGAGGTGCCTGACTGTCCTCTATTGAGGGGCAAACCCAGAAGATCTCATGTCGTCCAAGCGCAGAAGCTTTCCGTTGACATGCCTACCACGCAGGCGAAAGCAAGAGAAGAGATGGCCACTGCTGCCTAGCGATTGCTTTGAGGTCGAAAAAAGCTGGGGTGTACGTGCTTCGTGGACGGCGCTCCGCGCTGACGGCCCCCCCCCCCCCGCACCCCGCCCTCATGCACCCGAACCATGAAAGCAGAATCAGACGGTTCAGCGGAAGATTTGCTGGTGTCGAAACTGAAGGGGGGGCTTTCTGAGCCTCCCTTGTGAGAGGCCATGAGTTCACTTGCTTCAGACTTCAACCAGAGTATCTTAGGGATGATGACTTGGTGACGGGACTGGGACTGAAGTCGAAGAATCAGGTCCCAACACATGGTTTTGCTATGTTTTGCTGTGTTCTGCTCTTCCATAGGTTTCAATATGTCTTCCGTGTTCTCTTAACCAGCAGATAATCAGCATCATGCTTCCATATGGTTTTCCCGGACTACCTCTGACTCCCTGTCCAGGAAACTCCACAGACTGATGGTTCTCCTCATTTTTGGAGCACTTTTTCTCCCTACCCCTCCACCGGCAGCATCGGACGGGTACACCGCCGAGGTTCATCGCCCCGATCCCTGCCGGGGTCTCGAGTGAGCGAGGGATGGGGGCACATCATCAGTTAGCATGGCTATTACTTAAGTATTTTGCCGCTGCCAGTCCAAGCATCGGCCTCAGAAGCCCAGAAGCCTTCGATGTATCAACAGCACGGCACAGCATCGCATGCATAGTGGAGCCTGAAATTGACGGTCCAGTTCTCATCCAGAACTCATCCACCACACGCGGTCCTGTTCTACCAACTTAGTCGGGCAAAGCCTTTAGCATTCGAGGGTGCTGTGAAGCTCAGGGGCTTGGGATCTCAGAAAGTGTCCGTCGGGCTGAGGCCGGACATTTGCACCGGATTTGCGCCGCTTTGGCTGCAGCGGGGCTGGCTGTTCTGATTGCCCGTGGGACGGACATTTTCGTGGACGGATGGATTGGATGTCATGAGAGAATCCGGGATAGTGAATAGTACATGATAGCTGAGCCAGCAGTCCCAAAGGGTGCCGAACTTGGAGGATGGGAGTGCCCAGAGCATCCACTCACTGAATGGGACTCAAAACCACCCCTTTGTGACTCCTGGAGCGCATGATTGAATTGCACGGAGTTTCCCAAGCCTTTCTGCTGGTTTACAGCTGCTCCATCCATCAAACTCAGACTCACTGAGCTGTAAAGCTGCCATCTACACTGAAATCATCACTTGACGTACATAACTAGATGTCAAAAGGACTTTCATAATCTATCATGAATTGGCAGATAATCAAATCATCAAATTGCTGTTTTCTGCCAATTTATATAGGATCATGAAAAGCAAAGGACCCTAACCCCTCCTTTCTCCAGTGATGAATGTTCGAGGATCCCTTCGCCAAGCGATCGCGACCGGTCTGGCCCGGACGCCGAGCGAAGGTTGTCCACAGGATGGCATGAGGATGCATGGTTTTTCTTTGGGTGCAAAGTGCAAAGTTTGGGCTTGTGGTTTGGTAGTGGTGGCAGCCATGAATCAGCAGCCCTCACACCACTTGACGGTACCTCGTGCATGCTAGACAACCAGACACCTGCGGAAAAGTTTTGGTGCAAGCTTGCCCCAAGCACCACTCAGTGCAAGCGTGTGGCAAATCAATTTGATGGATTCAAAGCCCTACAGCATGGTGCCAAATGACTTAGCAGACCTAGCACCGACAATGATACATACACATAGTTACATACATACATACATACCTACCTATCTATCTACCTACATACATACATACATTTACACTGTATGTAAACATATGTATGCAAGGAAATAAGACCATGTCGCGATGTGTTTTAGCCCTTGCCTGAGCATGTTTTTGTGTTCCTTGCTCCAAGTCTTTTCTCTTCACAGGTCTGGCCTCCCACATTCTGATCCGCGTTTCCCGGGCGGTCTAACATGCACAGTGACAGACTGGTTCAGGACACCCACCGGACGACCTGCCCCTCCAGGTTTGTGAACCGTTCCTGGACGCCTCGCAGTGGCGCACTGAGAGTCGGAGCTGGGGAAACCTGCCACAGTGGAGCACCGGACCATGGAGTCCAGCGAGTGGACCGTTGGACCATTTAGGCGTGAAAAACGGCTGGGTATTGGCGGATCGGTGTGATCCGGTGGATCGTGGCGGTTCCTATGTATATTTCGCCCTTTGCATGACAGTTGCTGTTCATGGGGTGGCATGCCCATACATTGAAACATGGCAAGCTTATGCTTGGACTCAGCTTGCATTCCAGCCTGGCCACGGCAGCATGTACTCGATACCAAGATACACCAAGACCCCTAAATAATGAATGAACTTGCCTTGGGTGTTTCTAGCAACTGAGGGCGCCAGGTTGTAACTTTGCATTGATCCATGGGTCTCCTTCGATCCCTCTACACCACATCACCCAGGCAGCGAACGCGCGCGACGTGTGCTGCCGCCTTTGCCCAAAGGGCCTCTTGGACCGGAAAGGACGTACGAACGAAGTGCACTTGGATGCACATGGAGGTGACTCCAGATGGCAAGGTGGAACCTTGTCGGATGATGGCATGAGGATAAACCGTGAAACCTGAAGGATGTTGTTGTTGACTGGTGGTTGACATGATATGATGTTTGGTGCCCTCTACTCTGAGGCCTCGAGATTCTTGTTTGGATCCTTCATTGTTCATGTGCATTGGAGAAAAAAAAACACATATTGGGTTTGTGATTCGAAAGCAAGAGACACGTCTTGCAGAAAGCAGAAAAATGCTTCTTTGGATGCGTGATTTTGGGGGTGATCAACCTGGTCGAAACGTGGAATCAACGGACGACGTCGGACTCGAATCTTCCCGAGCCACTCTCAAAGCAAGAGACATACCCGAGCCGTCTGGGGCGTCCGCGGGGGTCCGTTTGGGACCCTTCGTTCGCCCACCTTCACATCCGTCCCTCGCGTCTGGGTGCCAAGGCCGGAGTCCCGCCCGCCGCAAGTGCTGCCTCCGGAGATCCGCACGGAGGCCGGGGCTGGCGCGGCGGCGGAGGCTCCGGGAGGGTGGCGGGCCCGAGAGAAGGTGCAGCTGACAGACTGGAAAGGCAGTGCGCGGAGGATTCTTCAGACTGAGACCGGAGAAAGGAAAGCGGAGTTGGAGAAAGGAGGGTCTTCCAGGATGTTTTTTTTTCCTATTCTGTCGCCCATTTGAGAAGGGGGGCTCTCAGGGTTTTGGGGTTTGGCTCCATCACCTTTCTTGACCTGACTATTGGCCATACAGTGTGTCCCATTACCAGTAACAGTCGGTAGACGATGATCGCGTGTGGGGAAAGGTCCTTACCATCATCCTGCACTCTTAGTAGCGATACCCTTTGCTCCTAGTAGCGTCCTTGCTCCTAGTAGTAAGGCCTGGAGCCCCTAGCAGCGTCCTTGCTCCTGGTAGCGATGCCCTTTGCTCCTAGTAGCGTCCTTGCTCCTACTGGTGAGGGGAGTATATACCCAAGTTAGACTTGATCGGATCAACTGGCCGATCAAGGCCGCGGCAGTCCTTCGATGTCTGAATGACACTTTGGGATGCCACATGCGGAGCATTGCGGAGCATTGCGGGCTCTCATTCGGGAACCAAAGAGATAGAGCACTTGATTTGGAACTGGGAAGGGCGGAGCAACGTAGGACCGTTGATGAAGTTCAAAAACAACTCCCAGAACCTCCCCCCAGACTGAAGAGAGGTCTTCCAGGGTCTATTTGAACAATCAAGTGGGGGGGGATTTGTTCATGAACATTCTAGAGGAAGCTACTAGGAGCAGAGGGCATCGCTACGAACGGAGCATGGACGCTACGAACGGGGCTCCTGGCCTTACTACTAGGAGCATGGACGCTACGAACGCAGCTCCATCGACTAGACCTCCAAAGAGTGGACGGAAAGTTCTACAACGAACTGCGTCCTTCAGATTGTTTGAGAGCGCCACGGGCTCACCCGAGCGCTGGAAGTGCCTCGAGCGCCACTAGCCACGAATGGTCACAGATCTGACAACCCCGCCACGGCGCAAGAGGATGTACCACTAGATGCAGAGGGTCGAAGCCTGCCAGTTTTGGAGCTGCCACCGTTGTTGAGCAGCACGAGAGACGGCAAGTTCCTGGAAATTGTTTTGGAGGCGATCTCAAACTCCCACAGATGTGGGATTGTCCCAGAGATGAGTTGAAAGCAAAGTGCGTGCCTTTTGCAGAATTCCTTGGATTCATATGCCGGCCTCACTTCCAACTTGCTCAAAGCGATTGGTCTCACTTCCATGTGTCAGTTGAGCGACTTGAAACTTCCACCAAACCCCCAGCTGCACAGCTGCACTCCCCAGCTGCGTTGCAGGTGCATTCGGTCATGGCGCAGCGGAGGCAGGTGGCCACTGTCCGCGGGGACCGTTTTGGACGGATGATCCAGCTGGGGCATTTGTCATGCCATGTCATGCCAAGACCCATGGCCACATTGGATGGGACATTTCGAGGGAAAAGGATCTGATGTCGCTGCGTGTGTTTGTCGGTGTAGGTTTGTGTGGTGGGGGTCAAGCAGAAATAGATTGGTTTTGTTTTGAGTCCGTTTTGGGCACTCAGTAGCGACTTGCCTAGACATACAAGTTTTTGAGGAACCTTGGAGCAATGGGGCCTCAGAACTTTGCATGTACGAAGGGTCCTGATTAGCACCATGTTGCGTGGAGTTGAGAATGGAAAGACGGAAGCTGGTTAAACCTGTAGTCACTACAGATACAATCAGATACATTATATAATTAGACCTGGAGCCTCCGTTGACCTAAAAGTTCTGCTCGATTTGCTTTGTTGCAATGTTCTCACTTTAGTGTGCTTTCTGCACGCTTCATCCCTTTTCTGCACGCTTTGAAACTTTTTTGCTCGGGCACCTCTGTGCAGAAGCATCTTCTATATACATTGCTAGGACTTGAATGGTCTTAGCTGACGAAGGTAAAGTGACAACACTTTTTGTATTGTTCTGGTGGCTGTCAACAGGGGATGGCACGATCGACTCACACGGCTGCACTGGCCGATGAAATCTTCGTCCTGCCAGCA